TCATAACCGAATTATTTCGTTTAACAATTTTGAAATCGTGGATACAAATAAATACTCATTAAAATTTTTAATCAATTGAGGATTATAGAAAACAAGATCTTAACTGGTTTCAAGTTTCTAGAAATTTAGCAGATTGCAGATGTACATGCATGTCGCATTATCTAAAATCCAGATTATTAAAAAATCAAACTGGTTTGCTGGTTTAACATAGGATATCCAATGTGTTCTTTTTGAATCATTGTAACATCTCGAATTTCAATAGTATCATGTACGTAGATGTATTAGCATGCATGCAGAATGATCAATACTAACTATAAATAGCGTTACAGCATCTGTTATTTCAATCCATCGATTTGCAGACAATATCGATATTGTAGACACAAGAAGTCTTTTATGTTTTAGTAAACTCATTATTAGATACGGATTTTACTATATACATTTATATCTTAAACATTTTATATATATAAATTAAAGATCAGAGAATTTCCCTAAGACGAAATCCTGCTTTGCTTTCAGTATGTCACACCATTCATTGCCTACAAATGGACCATGCTGAACAACTGGTTCTTTAATCGGTTTACCAGCAAACAAAATAACTCTCAAATCTTTTCCTTCAGAATCATTTTGTATAGGTAGCACCGAAGCAATGTCTTCATCATCTGAGACTGGATGACTAATCAAAACATTACCAGCTTCCAGTATTTGCTTATTGAATCCAAAAGCGCCTCTTCCTTCTAAGATATAAGCAAACATATTGTAATTAGATGGAATATCTTCTTCCAACGTGAATCCCTGCTTTTTGATTGTGATGTCGAGTGCTTTTATTGGTACTACATTTTTAGCTGGACCGGTAATGCCATCAGATTTGCCTGATATTACTCGAATCTTTGCTAATATTTCACCATTTGATTTTATGGTACGCGTTGGAATTTTGTCTTCGCTTAAGTCTTGATAGATTGCTTCATCGCACTTATTAGATTTTGGCAAGTTGAGCCATACTTGCATTAAATGGATTCGAGTTTTTTTGTTTGCTGGGACTTCTTTGTGCACTATGCCGCGACCTACTTTTAGCCATTGAACATCGCTATTGATTAAATAAAATATGAGCATTTTTATCGAAAATTTAACTTTCATTAAGTCAATTTCAACTATTGATTGAGATTTAAAAAAGCTTACTCTTATAGGCAATATGCAAAATGGTAAATATGGATATTCAACAAATTAGAAACGTATATAGATATAATAACTCTAACACTTAAAATACATACTCGGACCAACAACGCCAATATTTCCCTTAGAATCCTGGTGCTTCAATAATCCATCGAAAATTAGGGTAATAATCTAAAAATGATCCTTCAGTTATGTAGATATGATGAAAATAACTTGCGCGTACACCATATTCTAAAAGCTTCACAAATTGGTTACCTCAAACCCGCGATGCGGGTGAAAATCGAAACCACCTGGATG